GCACAATACTAGAGAAGGGTGCAGAGATTGTTTTGTGCATGGCATCGAGATAGAACCTGTGGTAAATGTTAGAGGAATACGTCAGTTTTGAGACTGTAAAAGTTGAATTATGGTGCGTGTTCAGTCGGCGTAGATTTGCGCTTGGATACTTGTCCCGCCTAGTACTGTGCCTCGGCTGCAGTTCCATGACCTCCGCAGTGGCGCTAATAAAAGAGGGCATGAGAAAAGAACTAGCCGGCAAATCTAAGCTCATTTTCACATATTTTGTACACTATACCCTGAAATTAAACATATCAAAAATCTGAACCTTGCTTGTGCACCCTACTATGATTTTCAGTGAGTCGAAGTGAGTCACTTTGGGGTCCTTAACTATAGAAATCCCCATAGGGCTAATACTGTGTTGTGCCGCCTTATCATGAGTAGATGTTCGGCTTGGCTGTAGTTATTGTTTTATGATGTATGTTTTACTGCTGTAGAGAGGTTGTGATTTGTCAGGGTGTTATTCCTCATCACAGGTGTGTTCAGTGGGTGCTTGCCTGGATGTCAGACTGAGGACACATTAAACATTGATGATGTGTGCCCAGCATCAGGATTGATGCCTATATATATATGTCCCGGGGGGGGGGGTATCAGTAGTGTAGAACAGCAGATCTGATGTAGGCTGAAGTGATGCCCATGTCCCAGAGGGGGTGGGAACATTGTAGGACACTGCGACTATGTAAAGATAATACTAAGTTTGATAATATTCCACACATTTGTAGTCAGCATAACTTCAGAATGCCTTTATGGATTGTGATGATATTTGGTACATTGGTAGGTCTTATGATGACAAAGGTCAAGGTCAAATATGGGCCTCCTGGTGGATGACCTTGGTACTGCAGCAGAACTTCCAGTTTTTGTATCTTTTGTCCTGAACATGCTATGGTCTTGGATTTTCGGTGACAGAGCTTTTCTTGTCAGGAATAAGTGGTGTGGGTTTTGTGCCCCTAGCAGCTTGTTCTGGAACTGCAGGGGGGTTTCTGGTAAAAACTTAAAGCGGATAAGTCAGGTCAGGAACAACACAGTTTCATCATTTTTGGTGTATAGGTACATGTAGCTTAGAGAGAGCTGTACATATAAATGCAAGTTATGCAAATGAAGGTTGAATTTGCATAATTAAGTACGAGTAGGTAATTCTGTAATTACAGTGTTTTACATTGTAATTACTAATTTTTAATTGTAATCTATTGCAGGTGACACATTAATAGATACCAATTATGCAAATAAAGACCTAATTTGCATAATTAATGTGAAAATTTTGCCATGATTTATTAATGGTGAATGATGGTAATTATATACCTTGTGACATGTGATAGTTACTTAAAGGTTAACACCACCATGCGTATATTATGTCATAATTAATTAGAACATGTTGAAATGAAATACTGCCAAAGGATAGGAATTCCTCAGGCAAAATATTGTAATTTGAGTTTACAAACCATAAATTAAACTGTTAATTACGACCTTACTTCCATATGTGTAATGAGACAAATCCCCCCAATAACAATTTTACATTAACTCAACATATTTCATGGAGGTATGAGATCTCCGAATTCTTGTTTTTTCTGTTGCATTTAGCTATATAGCAGTTATCATGTCACCACAAGCACAGTGTCTGTAGATAAGAGGACTTGACAATTTGATATGTTTCAGATTTGACAGATAAGGCATGGAATATGTATGGGATGAGGCATTGATGCAGAATAAATCAGGACTTCATTCATACTAATTTCTTGTATTTATATTCAGTTAGCCTCCATAGCATGCCAAAAACAGGGGGTTTTGGGGGTCTTCAGGGTCTTTTATGTGCTATTTTCTGATTGCATATACTGATATAGACAACTGGGCTGGTCAGAAAACAGCCGAAGACCCCCAAACCCCCAGTTCTATAAGCCTACCGCACCAATTTAAGTTCTTGGTGAACAGATTTTTCTAGAAAAATAATGGAGCGGGCGGGCGAAAAAAAATATAAATAAAAACAGGCCTAGGCATCCTATTATGGCCCAAAATGGTACAATAGGAGCCATGAAGTCAACACACCAGGCTAGTTCAAAATTTAAACAATGAATTTTGAACTTTTAATGGTACCATTGCATTGAAAGATGGAATAACTGTAACAACTAGGATGAAAATGACTATTTTTAACTATTCAGGATAAAATATGAGCATTTTGATTCTGGATTTTTATTTTTATATTAAGCTGTGAATCCGTTAACTAAGAAATTAAATTGGTGTGGCCTAAGGAGGCTAATATTCAATGGTGTTCTCAGTCAGGTTGTTAGTTTTCAGCTTCTCCAGTGCTCCTGTAATGTGTATGACCCTGCCTCTAACCACTCACATCCCTGCACAGCTGGGTATACTGCTGTGACATGTGTTAGGCCACAGCAAGTAATTTCTATGGATCACATCAGCGCACGCATTGATTTTCGCCTGATTTTGGAAAAAAAAATTTTGTTGCCTTCTGACAGTGGTCACCATGCCGAAAATGGGCAAAGATGTCTGTTGCCATGCCGGAAGGTGGATGGCAGATAACTATGGAGAGAGGAGACAAGAAAAGGCTCTGATTTAATGTTTTGTTTCTTACTTTGATGCAGTGATATGTGATGCTGGTTGTGTATATGAGATGTTCCCACTGAATGAAAACTACAATGATTGAGTCAAAATTTTAGAATGTAGGAACCTTGTTTTTTTCCGCCCGCCTTTTTTTTGGCCCGCTCGCATTAGATTTGGAGTCTGGAGGATGTCATCCATAAAATTTACTTGCTGTGGCCTTATTGTACCCTGGAGTCTGTATGCCTGTAGATGATCTGCTCCACACACTAATGGAGCTGCATTAAATTTCTTCAGGTCAGTGGCTCCAAGCTGTGGAACTCAGAAGATCTGAGAGGCTTTTAGGAGTATAAAATTGTGGGACACATGAACAGGACAGGA